ACCAAATTATCTTGTTACCCCCACCGATGCAGCACCATAGTTTCTTTAGAAACTTACCCCCTTTATAGGTCGATATAGCCCGCTAGCAGGCTCACATTTGGAGCCTGCCCGCAAACTATATAGCAGTTACAATGCATGAAGTATTTTGTGCCACTTCTGTTGAAAATTATTCTGTGAAACAAGCACGATGGATATTTGTTTTTCAATTTCTAAATTATGTTTCAGCTGTTGCGCATATTCTCTAATGGATGGAAAGATGTTCTTATGAAAGGCAAGCAAAGCAAAGGCAAGAAGACACTTGGGGGCAAGTTGCACATACCTAGAAGTGATTTAAAATATTTAACCTCTTCCTGTAATCTCCAAACAACCAACAAACAGATAATGAAAATGCTTAAACTTATCATGTAAAAGTTAATATCTTGAACTAAACACCAAATTCTCTTATTTAAAAAGAAAAGTGTGGCACGTGGAGAGAAGAATTAACAATCAAATCTTTGCATTTAAAGGGTTAACATGTAACATGCGCTATGTACTGACGGCTTCGAATGTGCTACTTCCAAAACAAGTCGCAGCGAGCCATTTTATCTGTGCTTTAACACGCTTCAATTTAAACCAGTTTACATTTGTTCGACTTCTTTCATTTCGGGGAAAAAATTCTGGCATATGCAAAAATGTTTCGCAAAACAGTCTCCTGGGATGTCACCTGAGGCGAATAGTCGTTGCAACTTGTTCATGCGTCGTCAAAGAGTGTGCCCTGACCTTAAAAGTATTGGTAATTAAGAGAAAGTAAAAAAGGCGGAGTTAATAAACTATATTTTGTTTACCTGAAAGGCGCCGCATCGCCATTTCAGATGAGAAAACTCTTGGACCATTTTACCGACAAGATATGCTTCCTAGCGAGGCGCGAAGCTTGAAAAATGAGTCCGCGTTCTTTGAAAAAGCAGCAGAACTTGTATGGCATTAAATACGCAGTGTAATGATGAGCTATTTTTCATTCCGTGCGGCTTTTGATTTATGACTCCATACTGGTTGTCGTGTTGGCTGGTTTGTTAACAATCCGGCATTCGCGTGCCTGATAAAGTGATAATTCAAAGCTTATACAAAAGTGGTACAGGACGGCGCCACAAGTGTGCTAATAAGGTGATATCGACCTCATTGCTTTCAAAAGAGGGCTTTCCTGTAATAATGGCGGAAAGATGGCGTTGAGACTGCCTGGAACCTTATAACTATTTTACACTGGCTAGGACAAAAGGTAAAAAATGCAGCTTCTTTTGGTTTTCCTTCACAATAGGGCTCAACTTTTTAGACTTAAATTGGTTGAGTTGCGGATGCTTGGTCGTATAGCTCTGATATAGTTTTTGTAGATTTAGTTCATATGCTTCCAGTATACTTGACGCCACGCAAGTCAAGTTGATCAACAATTTCGAAAGGGATTCTTCAGCAATATTCGGGCTCAAAGTAGTGTCACCTAAGACGATTCTAAGATTTTCGAATTAGATTTGACGTTATTTACATCACCCAAAGGATTTGAGGAATTAGAAAATGAGCGCTTTTGTAACCATGTAAGCCTAAAATCCTCTTCCGACCACAGGACACGAAGGGGGGTTAAAAAGAAAGAAGAATGCGTTTAAAATTATTCAATGTCATTATCCCTTTCATCTATTGTTTCGCTTTATTCTTCAAAAATCATTTATCATGTAATTACACTGTTGTTTCGTCGATTGTTTGCCCACAAAGAGCCTAACCTGCTGAAAACATGGTGCCAGACAATTAAGTTTCCGACGCTGTAATTTAATATGATTATACGGTTCTCCAATCTCAATATTTCTCAAGCATTTAAGCACTCTTACACTTTCGGGTTTGCGCTCTTACTGGAAAGGTTTATGCTCAGATTACACCACAGTTTTTTTCCTGAACGACATCCACAGTTTTATGTTCAAAATATGCAACAATAATATCCGATTCTCGTTGTATGCCACAAGTTCTGACATCACTTACTAAGAGTGGTGTCAATATTACTCTGACTATGTTATCTCTACTCCAAACTGATTAATATATTTAAAACAATTTTTGTACACGTAAATTAGTTGTTTTCTCAAAACTACGAATCATGTCGTTCATATATAGATACAAATCAAGTTTTGCTTGACTCTAATCTCACTGTTTAAATATGGCAGCCTCTGCCTTCCGTAAATATTTATCACTGTTCTTTTTTTGCTATCAAATCCTGTATACGTCGATAATGTAACGAATACTATTTTACACTGGTGAAACGTTTTTAAAATTAACTTATTTTCCTTGGAGCACTGCGCTCCGTCGGCTTAGCGGATGTTTTCTTATGGCGTATTACTGTCGGGAAATCTTTCCTTCTCCAATCTTCTTTTAGTAAGATCGTAGACAACGGTCAACTGGCTGGAAAGCTGTTATGAAGTGTTCTCCTCAGTCGTTGAAACGATTTTTCATGTAGACCATCAGTTTTTACAGCTTGGACAATCCACAGTCATGGCAGGCACACTCCTTAACAACTTTCACTTTCTTTATCACAAAGGAAGGATTTTGTCCAGGGCATTCCAGTCGCACGTTGATTGTCTCTTGTTTAAAGGGCGCACAATAGGAACAGGAAACAAACTTCTTTGGGATGAAAAACGAATTGCATTGTCCGTACCACATGCTGTTGTTGATTTGTGCACTCTGGCAACCGCGATGATGCACAGTTTCGTTGAAGGGATGTGTAACGCACCAATCGCTTTTGAGGTTCAACCTGCCTAGGTTAACTTGGGGCCCTCCAGTAGATAAAGGTACTTTGTGGCTGTATGACATCGCTTTCCTCTTAGTCGCTAGCCCTTTTGCAACCGAGTCTTCTGTGGTCCCGCTGCCTCCAAATTTGACGTTTATTTTCGGAATATTTCCGCTTTCCTCCTCAGTTTCTTTCTCTGGCCTGATTGGGAGATATTCCCATGGCTCTCTCTGCTTATTAGGAAGACCACCTCTCGCTTGTGGTTTGATTGCAGATTTTGAATTGAGGTCACTTGGGGAAGATGGACGGGAAAATCTCAACTGCATGAGCCCCGATTGTGCACGTTTTCTTTCCGTAGACATGTCGGCATTCCTATGCAGTTTCTTGGGCTTAAAGTTGAAAAAGTTAGTGTGAACAGCTGACGAGTTTTTCGTCGTATCACGCGTCGGGGTCTCGTAAACTGTTTTCTGCGGGAGGATTTGACTTCCTAGCAAGCTGGTTGGATCTCTAGAGGGAAGTTCTCCTTTGTCTTGTTTAGGAAGTGCGCTTGTTTTGCGATTTAAGAGTTCTTCCATAAACGGAATTGGAGATGAAAACAGCGTCGACAGGTCCGTCAAAATTAAGAGGGTCACCAAACAGAAATAATTAAAGTTGACAATTCTTTTGACACCCATCTGATGACAAAAAGAAAAAAAGGAAGACGTTGATCACTTTTGAAGCACAACCAAATTCATGTTATATTTAACTTGTATTGTTACGAGAGTATCTACCAATAGAACGTTCGTGATTTCGTGTGATATTGGTGTACTTTCTATCATCACTTGAAATACATAATTATAATCTAAAGAATATGTCTTTGGTTTTAATTCATGACAAAACTCCATAAGCAAATTATCTACCCACTCTGCTATATACCCATTCACCCTCAACAAGGAGAGAAACTGTTTAACAACAGGAAATGAAGCCGAGACTTCGCATTCGACAAGTATGCTCTTGGGCAGCAACACACCTCTGCTACTGTAGCTATTAAAATGTTATTTGTTTATGATAGGTTTGGTTTGTTTGGTCCACGTTTTAAACACTCGTGGTTTGCGAGAAGAGCGGAAGGAACCAGTAACTTCTAGTAGTAAGTTGTAACGTGCCGTTTTTATGAAAAAGGGGCTCGTGAGTTCGTCAATTACCTTTCTGAATCGACTCTTAAACGATGACTTTTCTGCTTGACGTTTATCTGAAAAATAGAAATTGCGAGTTCTTGAGATCATCATTTGAAGCAATGGTATATTAAACTGAAGTGTTATCCTGTCTGGTTATAATGGAAAACTTCGAATTTCCTTCTAAAGAGAAGAATTAAGAGTTACTTGAAATCGCTTTCTGCTTACCGCGTTAGTGGGACTGACGATGCTTTTGCGGGAAGAAAACAAGCTCTGAAATTTCTGAGACAAGTGTCGAAGAAGAGCACTTGTTTGAATATAAACTGTTCTCGCTCACCGGTGATGTATATTGTCTCCACGAATGTTCCTGCCGACAAAAACCACTGTCCAAATTAGACAATTAAGTCACCTTTGCTTTGTTTACGAAACCTGTTTTAGTCAGCAGTCGGCTCCAAGCGAGAAAGCGTGATTTATTGACCTAGAATATCGATTCGTTCCAGCGAAGCTTAAGACTGTTGGCGCCACAAACGCGGCAATGAATAGATTTTTTGAATTGTCAATTGTGTATTGAGCCGCCTTCGGTAAATTGAAACGCAAAAAATCTTTGTCTCTTTTCAAAAAGTTTTAGAAACGTTTACTTAGTTCTCCTTAGCTAACAATTCGTGTTCGGGTTTCAATCATCCTTTTGAAGCTATTTTGCTATTAAGTTAAGATGGTCTGACAAAGAAGAAAACCTTCAATTAACTCGAAATTACTGTTATGATATATTAGCTCCGTTGTGGCGCCAGAGGACAAAACATTAATCGCTCAAAAAAAGTGTTAGAACAGCCAGAGAAGGTGACGGAAATGGGGCCGTGAACTTACTTCTCTCGGAACTGTTGTTTCAAGTTGATGTTGTTTTTATTTAGGCTCTATAATACCCGCTACTAATAAATTTAATTGCTAAAAAAAAAAAAAAAAAAAAAAAAAAAAAAAGGTGAAGTACTAGGTGTTAAAACGAATTACAAGCATACTAGAAATAATTTGTTTCCAGATTTCAGGCATGGGCGCCGAATGGTAATACCGAGAAATTATACACGCTCGAGTTAAAAAAGGCCGCAATCTTGAATTGAATACCAGCCCGTCTGCAACAGATTTGTAGCAAAATTTTTATAATATTACACTAGAATTGTTTTTTTTTCCTTTAAAAATGCGTTCGATTATGGTTAAATAAAATTTCCAAATGATGGATTCATCTTAGTGATTTTGAGCCATCATAACTGAATGTGTAAATGAAAGTCTAAGCTGCAGGAAAGAAAAAAACACTTAATTGAAAACGCTTCGACTATTTGTTTCAGTAAATTGCGGATAAATTTCTCATTTCCTTTTTTCCCACGAACTTGACCTAGGAAAACTTGTGGTTATTGTTTTTTTTTTTTTTGCTTTTTTGTGGTCGGAAAAATTAAACGTTGGTTACGATCAATATGAGTTGATGTTCTGGTAGTTTTTTACAAGTCAAAGGTTACGAGCAAAACCTGGATAAAATCAGGCAAAGATTCCCTTCCAGTGCTTGTAATCGTGGGGGGCGTAAACTTAGATGCACGTAACATGTCCTCCTGTAACGAGGACCCCAGGGGTAAAGCTTGGGGCATCATTCAACTCAATGCTGTCGCAGTAGTGATATGCATAGAACGATATAACATACTCTTATGTTACAAATTGAAAGACTCGGGTATAAAAAAATTGACGTCACAAACGGTATCGTATTTTGTTTTTTTAGGAAGAGTATGGGAAATACTCATGTCTCATAAAAACCCTGGTATAAAGAAAGACATTCTTGAGCCCAGTAATAGTAATAATGTATGAAGAAGGGCTCCCATCAAATCCCTCTCCCATCGGGAGAGGGATTTGAATTTCGGTTTACCGTACGGATATTTAACAATAGGGACTTAAAGCAGTCAGGACGGCAACGCCACGGAAGACGTCGATTAAAAAATGAGTTTCTACTTTTAGTTAGAATTTCGAAAATGGCTGCATGTGTTTACCGTCTCTTAGGGCGCCGGATCTCAAACTCAACATAACGCATAAGAGTAGCGTTGAGTTACAAATGGAAATGAAAATAATTTGCCGCCGCGGTCTCGCTTCGCAGACGACGCAAATTTTGGTGATTTCACGTTGTTGTTTCGCAGAGGACGGCTAAGAAATGTACAAAGTTTTAAAACGCACGTGCTGGGCTATTGTTCTGCCAATTAGATCTGTTGTTTTTCCACGTTCTCGTTGCCGTAGCCGTCGTGGTTTGCTTAAAGTCCCTAATTATTCCACGAGCACGCGTTGGATATGAGATGATAGATAGCCAACAAGGCGCGTAGCGCCGAGTTGGCTATAATCATCTCATATCCAACAAGCGCGAGTGGAATAATTGTTTTATTAAAAACGTTGAATTAAATTATTCAATTTTATTAAATTTACTTAAATTTTTAGCTCCCTTTTAATTTTAAGCTGACACGTACGCTTGCCATATTTGTAGATTATGGTATATTGGCTAATATACCGTAATGGCTCAGCCAATAAAAAGTCTTGAATTACATTATCCAATGATCTAGTTTTTAATAAAATGATATACACATCTCATTGAAGGTGAGCTTTTTATACCACTCTTAAAGCTTTAATGTTTCTTTTTTCTTCCTGTCGTGTTTGAATATTATTTTATTTCTATGCTTCATTGATATACCTCCAAACCACTTGGCTAGCTACTGACGTAAGTTATTTTAAGTATGACGTCTGTTTTCAAGCGGTGTTTGAGGAAGTATGACAGCAATACTAGTCCAGTAGCCGAAATATGCTTAAAGATAGTTGTGTGGGCAAATTTAGTTCTCTTAATTACTTCTCCGTCTTCTTGTCGTTGTGCGCAGCTTTGTACTTTGGGTGCAGCCAGCGTTGAATGAAAATATTTCCCGGGCTAAGCTTCGTTTGCTGATCTTATGCCGCAGAAAGTTCAGATTTGACCACCATTCGTGATAAGTGAACTGAAGTGAAGAGCATTCCATTTAAATTGAGTAACTGCTGGAAATTACTACGGAATCTGTAGTATCATATTGGCCTCCTTCATGATCATATCTAAATAGTCGCACGCAGTCAACGCAAATTGAATTCTTGTCATGATCTTTAGTAAGGCGTAAAGAAATTACTGAGATCTCTAAAGCTATTTCAGAATCCAAATTAAAGAATTAGCTTCCCAACTTAATTTGATTTGATTTTCCATCGGTTTCTTGAAAGCACAACACAAATTGTACGCTAGCAAAAATACAAATTCAATCAACCTAAGTTTATTTCGGGGTCTGCAGTGGAGCAGAAAAAAAAAATCGATTTCATCAGTTTTAAGTCCTTCAGAGCTCTTTCTTAGGGGTTTCTGTCTACCAAAAAGACCTTTCTAATTTCTCAAAGAAGTTTTCTTTTTCTCGAATAATATATCATTGGTTGACAACATCTAAAAGCATTGCTGGCAACTTCTGCTAACTACGTATCAAAAATGGAGTAATTGTGTAAATAGATACGCGTAACTGGGTAGCGACTCGTGCTTAAAAAAAATCTAATTTCAGTTGTCTTTGCGCATTTCAAAACAGTGTTGATTACCATGCGAATATTGCAACGCACCATGAAACACCTTGCAAAACTCATTTCCTTCAGAGTATAGGGCCCGGTATGTTGAATTTTAGGGGGTTTGCCGATTGACTTTTGCAATCATGCATTGTTTATATTGCATGTAAAACTATCCAAGTTGTCAGTGTTGTTGCCAATTTAACACAGACGCCCTTTCGCCCATTCTTGGAATTTCTCATATTTATCTTTGTTTTAGCCTTAACACCGCCAACTATATATGAACAGAGGGATCATTTTGCTTGAAGAAAATCTTCACCTCATGTACGATTAAAAAAACTGGACCACAGGGTGTTCCTCTTCAAAAGTTTTGTCTTGGGCTTCACTTAAATGAACAATAAACCTTAGACAAACCTTTACTCTTAACTATGTCTGATGTTTCACCCACACTTCCGATATATAGGCTTACAATACTAGGTTCCGCGAATAGCTATTGGTATTTGTAAATTGTGGATGGTTTTTCTAAGTCCAAACGAAAGATAAGTGAAATATTTACCACGACTAACAACGGATCATCAAATCACTCCAAGCAAGGAATAAATTAAGTTAGGCTTTTGTTCAATGGTTAAGCCGATTTTTTGGTTCGTTTAAATTAAAATTGACTAAACACATCCATAATAGAAAACGGTTTTGATTCGGTATGTTTGTCATGAGTTACTTATACAGACGATCCAACTGCCTCAAGGCTCGCTCCAATCGGCGAGACAGAAACGTCACGGTATAAGTGAGGGCGCGGGAACTGAATGAATTCTCTCAAGTCAAGGATCACTTACGTGAAGCACTTGTGAGTGTCGTGGACGGAGACAGGAAGTCTATGCTTGTTTTTAGAAATGGTACATTCGAGGGAGGTGGCTGTTGTAAAGAAATGAGGAAAGGTGTGTTGTGGCAACAATAAACACACACTCGAGCGTCGAACGAATGATCGTTTCACTGGACATTCTCTCAGAAAAAACGGATTTGTAATGAGTGTTTCACGAGAAAATAACTGGTTGAACTTCATGAAAGGTTGTAAGGCCTCGCTAAATCTCATTTCTCAAGGAGAGTTTTCGTTTCAGCGCTTACAAAAACTCCTGAAGTCTCGAAAAATCAAGGGATCTACGGCTAAGTTCGTGCATCTTAGAAACGCAAGCCGTCATTTGGAAAGGTTTTCACGAAGAATCCGCTTCAAATTTCTTCATCCTCTCTTATATTTGTTCCCTCTTAGTTTATTATTGTCTTTTTACTTGTTCTCAGATTCTACCGAACTAATATTTTGAACTCATTTGCAACCCTCGTTTTGCCATCTTTTTCATCATTAACCATCCTCGTAATAATTCTCATTCGAAGCTAGATTAATAAAGTCGTATCGAGCAGGACACTTGAAGTTTTCGCACAGAAGAACTATTCTTTAAGTCTGTAGATGCTAGAATCTCGGAGGTTTTTTTGTTTTGTTTTTTTTTTCCAATAGTAAAACAGAGTAATCGGAACTTCATATTTATTTCAAACTGAATTTCAAATGAATGTCATTCGGTGTTTTTTTTTTTTTCAGTACGAGGAGCATAATGCCAAATAAGTTACCGTGCAAGAAAAAAACAAATGAACGGCCAGAAGAGTACACGAAAAGATTTACAGCAACTTTGCAAATGAGCGCGCTTAAAAGAATGTTGGCGACATAACCCTTCCTTAGTTTTTCGACATTGTATCTGTATTGAAAGTATGCGGCGACTTGGCGACACGGCTACCATTCTTGAAATGCCTCCTTTCCGTGTCGAGAGCCGAGTGGACAAAAAGGGTGGAATTTACAGCCTCATTAGAAAAGCGCAGTGCTCAATACATTCTCGGTCATTACAAAACGTAGAGAACCATTAGAAAAACGTTGAAAAGTAACAAAAAATAGCCAGTATCTGCTTTAAATGTCCTGTATTTCTAAGAAGAATGAGGTATTATACCTATTTTATTATCATTATTTGTTTGTTTGTTTTGAAAAACGAAAACTAAGTCTTACTTCTAAGATGTGTTATAATTAGTTCGATAAAGATAAACAGTTTAATTTTAAAAGACCCGTTTGACACTACTGCCCAGCCAAAACAACGTTTTACATAATGCTTTCGGGTAACCAATCGTCTTAACTGCCTTAAGTCTGTCTAGGAATTTAATATCAGTGTAAGCCGTTGAGATAATAAATGTTCTAACTTAGTGCGTTTAGTCAACACCAGAGAAAGTGTATTTGTAGTAGAAAAAGTGATCAGATTGCGTTATTGTGTAGAATTTCAGCCCTTACTTACTAGTCACAGAGTAAACTAAGATAGGAAGATATCTTTCCATTTTATCACAACAAAGTTTTAAACGAAGGGTAGAGGAACGGAACGAAGCTTGAATAAACCATGAAGGGGCATCGATGTGTGTAATCGTAAAAGCAAGAAAGGATTTAAATTGAGGCTAACTTGAGGGTCGGCTGGGTTTTTGCAAAGTTTATCTCGGTTGGTTTTAAAGTGTTGCGTTTAACTGAGGAACGGATCCAATCATTCTTCGCTTCTTCACGGCCGTAACTTTGCAAGTTACAAAACACTTTTAAGAATGCAACGAAGACAACAATACAGTGTGGTGTCCACTTTATTTGGCCCTATAATGTGTTCAAACCATTAGTCAAAAGGGGATATTTGGGAACACATTATAAACAAGGAAACAACCACTTAAATTCACTTGAATTCTTTTTTAAAACATCCTTTGTGTATGCTCGAACTTCTTAAGCGACCACGATTAATTTCGAAGCCAAAAATTTGATAAATTCCTTAGCTTTGATGGGTTTTTGAGAAGCAATAAAAAGTTAGGAAATCCACGTGTTACTCGAACGTCAAATAGAATTGTTTAAAAAGAGGAAATCAGGATTAGAAGTATAGGTTTCCGAACATATGTTTATCAAGGAACACATTTTCAATCGCAAAGGTGCATGTCGTGAATTCAAGAACTGAATACTGAGTGATTTGGATATGTTTTCCAAAGACGAATTTTTCATCTGCTTCAACTTGTGAAGTAGGAATGAATGGTGGATCCAATCATTTTTTGGCCTTATGTATCGATATTTTTCTAAGCGACCACTTTCTTTAGGTGACTACTCTTAGCTTACTTACACCGTGGGTGGTCGCTTACAAGAAAGTTGACTATCATCCAGCCCCTCTCTTCCTCAGTAGCAGTGATGGCGTTTGCTTTCGTGTGAACGTGACTAAACTCACGTGACATACGCATGAGTATTATTACATATTTGTCGTTTTCTTCAGTTCCTCGGAAAGTTCATTTTCCTCTGAACGTTTTAGAGGGGCGTTATCGTGATATTCAAGACAAAACGTACACTGAGCTGATATCGACTGTAAATAAAAAGTTTCAAACATACTCGATGCAAGGAAATTTCTTGAGATTAGGCTCTAGCACAAACATTTATTTTCTCCGCATTTATTTATTCGCATAAACATTTATTTACTCGACGCAAGGAAATTTCTTGAGATTAGGCTCTAGCACAAACATTTATTTTCTCCGCTTGCAACATAAACACCGCCACTAAGTCTACGAGAGTGCCTTTCTTTGTTGTTGTTTTTTTCTTGTTTTGGACGAGAATTGCAGACTATCAAGATCATTTTGTTCCTGATGCATGTAAGACGATTATGGGTTTGGCTTAATTAGGGTTAGGTTCCGACGTTTCATCTGAGTTAGATGTCAATTGGACCAGCCTAAGGCGCGCCATCTCGGTAGAATAAGAGAGATTTAATATATGAAATCCGGCGATTAGGGAATTAAGAAGCAAATACTTCTAAGCAGTAAAGAAAGGGGTTTCTCAATTTGTAACAAGTTCTTAATTAACTCAAAGAGATCTGTAAAAGGTCTGGAAAGATAGCAGGAATTTAACCAAGGAAGGACATCGTAAAAAGATTTTTCGAAAGACGTCGTTAACCAGGTTCTCAATGAAATTAAAAAACGTTTCGTACTCTGTTGAGAATGTATCCGTCGTCGTGCGACTGTGGTACTAACTGTTTTTCTTTCCTTTTTTTAAGAATGTCAAAGCTGGTCAAGATTCCATTTTTCCGCTAATTAAATATTGGGCAATTTGTCTGTATTAACCTAATTTTGTCTGTCGGCCTTTTCCTTCAAAGGAATAACAGACTATTTTTGGACTAAAAGATTACCTTGGCTGGTTTCAGTCGGTGAGAGCATAATCCAGGTATTTAGGGTCAGGAGGTGTGTCTTTTGCATGAGATGCACTTTTCTTCTTTTTTCTTTTTTTTTTTTTTTTTTTTTTTTTTTTTTTTTTTTGCAAATTATGTCGTTTACCGACGATACTTTGGTGATTTTTTTTTTGTCCTTTCTTATAATCCTTTGTTTCCCGGGTTAGCATGAGGTTTTAATTTACACTTACCGCCTAGGGGGTCTCTTCGTATTCTACCGTTTTTAAAAACCTAGTTTACAGCCCAGAGAAAATGCGACAAAACTTTAAACACGTCTGAAGCGCGATGAAGGTCACCGCTCTGGGGTCAGTGAAAATTAGTTCAACTGCTTTTGCAACTGGCTTTAAGTGTTACATATCAGCTTAGTTCTAATTCAATTTTCACTTTTAATTGGAAACCAGGATCTGTTAGCGATACTTCGTAAGTTAGTTAGTACCTGATTGCTTCAGACACGAGTTCAACTCGTAACATATAATTAAACATGTCGAGTTAAATAAACCGCATCATTGTGGTGTTCCGTTGGGTAAGAAACTTCATTTTCACAATGCTTCTCCCCTCCCACAGGAATTTGAATGAGTACTGGCGAACTTTCCAAGAAAGCCTGATGAAACCTGCGTTGGACGTGCATCTTATCAAGGGGGTCTTCTTTTAACGTGCTCAAAAATGCTTTCTACTTTTTCTTTTTTTCCTTCTCACATACTTATCCTAATGTAAAGATCATGTTCGTACGCTAGAAAAAGTTATAAATTATGAATTATGATAGATAGTCCTGCATAGAAAGAATTGTAGATTTGTTTTTGAAATGGGGATTATCTTAAGTATTCCGTTCATGACGTAAGCCAACCATAGAGGCATCCTCAGGTTTCGTTGCCTGGTCAGTATTCTTTTATATTTTTTTGTACACACAGTGTTAGGAAAAAGTTAAGAAAATGAACGGAACTACGTAGCAACAGTCCCAGCCGCTTCACGCCACAGAACTCCACGAATACTGAAAACGATGTGTGTTTCTCTTCTAGGAGTGTCCAAAACTGAATTCCCCTTCCAATATCTATGTTCTTTCAGGAAGAAAGGTGACACTTCTCAGATCCAAAACTATTCGAAATGTGTTTCCGACAATGTGGAGGATTGATAGACTGAGTGGTGCAGTTGAAATAAAACATTATTGAAAATGAACTATACCCAAATCATCTGAGGTATAGCAAATGTAACTCTACCATTTTGTCATGCTACCCAGTAGGGGCTGTTTCATTCGTAAAGGACTTTGTTACGGAATTTCGACTCATTTTTAGTTTTTTACGTAGTCACGATGTCAGAGAGAATTGTACCTCAGTACCCTTTCAATCCCAAGATATCATAGATTTCTTGCAAGTTGGCCCTTAGAATTTTATGTTAAATCAATTAATATCTTCTTACTGATATTTTCTTTCCTTATAATCTTTCTGCCTGGAATTAAAATGTATTTATTAAAAATGAAAGGAAAAACAATTTTTTTTTGTCAATCCCGGCGATGGAATAGTACCAAACAAGGATTGCTGAGAATGAACAAGATTTCCACTTGTTGAACAAAATGATCTTAAAAACTTTAGGCTAGATTACTCAAGGTGGACGAACTGTCCCGTAACAAAAAACGTAACAAAACAAAGAAAGACAAAAACTATGTGACTGTACCTCCACAAAGACGGCAGACTTAACATTCATTCAAAAACCAGCAGTTCCTTGTACCAATAAACGTTTGGTCGAGGTCCTTTCCGTCCACCACCTGTTGAAGATCACCAATTACTAGGTTATTTTCGAAAGAATCCAATATGTGTGATTATGAAAGAGGGAGGCATTATATACAACGCTTAGTTCGGATGGTATTCGTGGGCGAATTATGACGCAGCTCTGATGCGTTCCAACATCTTTCAGCGGTCTCAGAAGATCGCCAAATCTCTAGGAAATCCTATTCAATGTAATTAAGATGAAACTGTGGATATTGGCAAAAATTCAACAAAATGTTCGAAATTTTATTTGATAGAGGTCAGGCCATTGAAAACCCTCAAGGCACGCTTTTAGCAAAACCATTCTGGACTAGCAGTGGTATCTTTAATTAAACTCGGTAAACAACCTTCAGTAAAATCAATAGCTATCTATATACAATATTAAATTGGTCAAAAGCTATCAATATACTGTTTTACAAGATTGCCGAATGAGAATCCAATGACCCAAATACACAGTTAATTCGCTTTTCAAATTCACCTATTGATCTGATTTCTGTGACATTCTCAGGTAATGAATCCCACAAACAGGCACCGCTGTAACTAAAACTGCGTTTTAAGTCATTAGCACGCGGCCTTGGCAATGTCAGTTTACAAAAGACGTTTTGTCCAGTGTAAAACCATTACAGCTACGGGGCCTTCTGTTTCATGAGTACAATTAACGACTCGAAAAAGATTTAGGTGAGACAATAAGATATTTCCATGTAACATTTTAGGAATCCTGTAGACAAACCCGGTTTTCAATGAAAAAAAAAAAAAAGAAATTTCTTGACAATATCCAAACTTATATCGCAACGTAACTTTAAAATATTGGTTTGATTTTGCTTATAGTCAGTTATGATGCTATCTTAAGTATTCTGTAAACAATGTCTGTTGTTAATGTGCAGATAACATATCATTTATGTATTTTACAGCAAACCCCCCTGGATTTTGGAGACCGTCTGTCTGACGTTACTCAGATGTATTTGTATCATTAAGTCTCGTTCGCTCAGTGGGTTAGTTATCCAAGGAAACCGAAATGTTAACCTTTAGCCCGTGAATCATTTGTCAGATTACTATGCAAAAATAGAAGTTCACGTATCATGTAAAAGGACTGATATACTCGAATAAAATGCCAATTGGTAAGAGGAATAATGATGATAATCATAAATGAAGGACGTACAGTTTTTAAGATTTCAACTGCAATATCATGATAGACAATTATCTTATGCTCGTGTTTGTTTTTTACGAGGCTGAGTTATTGATTGAAGCAACAAGCATCCATTTCCAAAATAAACCGAAAACCCTCCAATGGTCTCACTCAAACGTAGATAGTTTTGTTGTTGTTGTTGTTCAGTTTCCCGCCGTTTTGTTAAAAAGGAAGGTGACAAGAACTCCATGATAAGAATGTAATTTACACGCAGTGCAGTTAATGTATGATAGAATCACAGTGACCCATTGAACAAACGAAGACGGAAAAGAGACATGGTTTGCCTATCCGAAGAAACATTCATAAAAATTGATAAATGAAATAAATTTGAATTTAGTAATGGACATTCTACCAGGTGACTGCTCTTGTCCACTGTTTTCTGGTCGAGTTGGAATCCTCTCCCTCAGAAAACTTACCAAATATTCTTTCAGGGTTTTGAAGCAATAGTGTGGCAGTTTTTCTATCAGGTCAAATTTTTACTAGGATTATAATTTGCAGTACCCCGTTATCTTCACTATTCTTGCCGGGCTATCTTTGTTCCTCGTTGATTTATGATCACCTCGGTTGTGGTTTTCTATGGTGTCGAAGTAACATTTTGTATATAGTCATTCGGGCCAATCCAGATCAATCTTCCTCATCCTTTGCCATAATTTTTTCCTTCTTTCTCTATCAGGTCCTTTTTTGTGTTTTTCTTTTTTTTCGTCTTACCGACCGAACTTGTGTTTAGTACCCACCTCGAATTTGAGGGCAGCCTTCCTCACTGCGTAAACGATTTTTTTAAAATGTCGTTTTGCACCTCGCACTGAGTCAAGCGAAGAATCCAAATTTCGGAATTTTAGTGAGAGGAACGTGTTCCAGAGATTTCCTTTAAAAATGGTCAATGTTACTCCCTATTAATTAAATCATTTCCTGGATCTGACGTGAACACTTGATTAATTTTTGTAGTTATACTATTAGCTTTAAAGATTATCGAATACTTGGGCAATCAGTGGTGCGTGTATTCTAAGATAAGCAAGAGGCCAAGATTTCTGAATTGGCGCATCCTTTACCTCAATGACTTATTTTTCCCTTTTATTGCACCATCGTTGGAAAGTCTGCCAACTCCTATCTCAATGAAGAGATATCGTATCGTTATCCTACATTGAAAAAGGAGGAAATAGAGAATGCTATTATGATCTCATTTGGCCCTCAGTTAGGGAATTTGCCCCATTGAAGAATTCGGATATGACGCAAAGCTTGGCTCCGCTTCTCCCAGAATCTGATATCTATTTTTTCCTTTCACCTGCCTGGCATTTCTTTGTAAACAAATCAGCATAGCCTGGTGTTATATCAGGAAAGAAACTCTCGCGCAAGTTGATACGCGTAGATGTTCCCGTCAGCCGTTGGCTGGACATTACGAAGAGACTGTGCTGCACTATGTTTCTCACTCCTTGGGGTGAAAGAGTCAACTTTTATTTATGCATATTCTCCATACTGTTCTCTGTACATTTTCTATTGTACTGACAAGGAGAATTTGTTTATGAATCAAGAGCTCTCGTTGATCATTTACTTTATTCTCATGACAGTTACGTTTGATTTAACAGTGACGCTCTACGGAGAAATTAGATGCCACTCACTCTAAGGGCGTGAGAGAAGGTTAAACGCATCCGTCGCTATGACGGGAAACCTTTTCCATTACTTTAATCTATCATTGACTGAGTTCCAGTGAAGATCGACTTCTCTCTTCTCTCGCTCTAGGGGGCGGGAAGATGAGAAAAGAGGTTGTTTTAAGTGATTAAAAAGTGACTTCTTCTAACAAATTTAACACTTTACCCAGCAATCAGGTGATGAGAATTAACAAAGTTACGGCTGGAGGGTGTTGTCTTGATATTATGCCATGCTCTCTTTAACTCATCTTTAAGGAACTCTTTAATGAATCTGCTAGGAAGTGTATAGCAGCAAGTAGAGAAAGTTACTATTCAGATCTTTGAATTAGAGGGCTCTAAAACAAAACTTTAAGCACAACACTGATCAGTCACAAGAAAACCTGACTACAACCATGAGTTGAAAGCTAACGATAACAGACCAAAAACCCTGTGGAGATAAAGGCCACTTCAAGTAGATTTTATGATACGTTGATGCTAAATAACCTAATAGGTTTTGTTTGCGGATAGAGTTGTAGATCTTTTTTAGTGCTACCGGCCGAGTTGAGGAATGCCATGCCTGTTTGTGATATACTATTTTGCAACAAGTTACTTCGATTTCGAGGATGTATGATAACAAAGGTTTGGAACTAAAGGTTATCACTGCACGGTCAGTGACCATAAATGTAAAATACCCCGGCAAGAGTGTTTATGGGATCGGAACTGAAAATAAACGTTGAAGTACCTGCACAGGCAAATAAGTGTCGCTGGGTTGCTTTGTTATAGACAAAACTTCTTTATTATTTGGAAAGATGAAGAAAAAAGAGAAAACAATGGAAGACGACCTTTTGTGAGGTCCCTATACTTGAAGAACTCAGTGACGTTTCTAGCATGGTCTAGCGGCATGGAAAATGCTAAATATAAATGTATTTATAAGAGCTAAAACGATTTGAACTTCGCACAATTGAGATGCATAATCAACTCGACGAGCCAACCTATTCAACTGACAAATAATTAAACAACACTGGATTTGTTAACCAAACCACCACATAAATACTAGTGAATGACTTCTATTCGGTGAGAGCTCCGACCACATTTTCCGCTGGCACTCGACAATTCTCAGCGAAATTACATGAATTACAATTATTTTGTTCGCTGATTCAACACTTGTCTACATGAAAAACTCATCGTGGGTGAAGGCGAAGAGAAAGCGAAAGAATTCTTCAACTTACCGCTTTGGAAGAGAATGGATGACTCGTTTCGTAGCGTTCCTGTTCACCTCTGGTGGTCAAATGGCTTAAGCAGCTTTCGTAATGGGATTGTTCATTTCAAGAAGCTTTAATCGGCTGCGGTTCCGGCGCCGTGATTGTGTTCGAAGGATCACCGTCACGAGACACTTGTCGCCTTGCTCAGTACGCTTACGGAGACCAAGCCCATTACACGACATAATACGACAGCGCGATATGTCATCCAACGCTTCTGGCATGAAAACAGCAGTGGTTATCTAAAATGTTTTGTCTAATATATAATGATAAGAACGTCTCGAATTGGTTGAAATTCAACCTCGTGAATATCTTATAGCTAGGAAAAAGACTTGGAAAGATTGTACCTCTGTGAGTTTCAGGCGTTGATGTTTGCAGTGTAGGAACCGATCGCGCCAATCTAAGCTTACATACTACGCCTTAGTAATCCGTAAATACTGTTTACTCCTCTTTTGCTGTTGTTTTATAGGATCACCTCCTAAAATTATAATTAATTCTACCTATGAATGTACCTCCAGCAGAGAAGGCAAAACACCTTTTTAAATCATCATTATTCTTCCCAGTTCTTATTCATCGAAGCCGGAAGTTCAGCGTAACTGAATTTCAGCCGTTTTCAGTCGAACGATTCAAGGATTATCAAGCTTTCTGTTACGGTCCCACTGTTGTGCGAAACCAGCTGTTCTCCAAATTCGAAGGAACTTTCCAAGCGACACATTTTGGTTGGCCGGGGACGTTTAAGAGTTCAGTGCAGTTGGGGTGGAAACTCTTCACATCGATTTTCCTCACTGCGCCTCTTCCCCCAGTAAGGCTTTTCATAGCTTGAATGGTCTCTTTCATGATGGACGTCTTTTTATGTCACGAAACGCTCCCCGTGACATCCTGTGGAGTCCGGAGTGGCTTCGAATGAGACATTTGTCATTTTTTAAGGAGGTAACTGGTTTCTTATAGCATTATTCAGATTAAGATGAAATTCAGACCACGTTAACATTAGAAAAAAACTTTGCGAAGTAACTTCCTTGAATTGGTTTAAGAAATATATAAGGTGATTGGTAGTCTAGTCGACATGATGATATCCTGTATCTGACCTGATGTTTTTGGTCATTTGAATTCTAGATCTGGTGTTTTATCAGAAACAGGACGATTTCCCTATATTTACTCAAGAATCGTAGATCACCATTCCCGTAAGAAACTTGTCCCGACAAGTTAGGGAAATTAAATGGCTGTAAATAAACTACTTTCTTCTTTTAATTTTCCGTCCATAATTTATTCCTTCATTTCGCATTTCCCCAGTCCTTTCATGGTTCGTTTGCGAAGGGACGTTGCTCTCGGGACTGGTACAGAGTATGCATGCAAGTCAGCATCAGCTTAAAATGGCGCCGATTTCGAATTACAAGTGTCGTGTGGCTGTTTCTTTGCGTTTCCACGATAACCTCTGACCAATTTTTTAGATTTTTAGAGCCATGGTAAGTTTTTACGGACTTTGATATGTTATTTATAAGTTCTAGAGAGATATAAAATAATGTTTGTCACTGCATACCCTCGACGTTCGTGATGCAATTTCCACACAGCTTAGTTCATCGACCAACAAGTCACTCCTATCTCCCTGTAGATTTAGTTTAGATGTATGCAGTAATTTCCTCTCTACAATATTTTTTTTTACAGAGGAGATCTCTTGCTCCGAGTCAAATTCTGAAAAGGAAGCAAGGCTTTTCAGAAGACGAAGAAATTGGGAACAAACGTAAACAGGTGAGACGGAACGGAACCATCAGAATGTTATTCTGTTTTCCATCTGATGAAAGCAAGCTCAGTAACGACTGAAATTAACGTTGTGGTCGAGGCAGTAGAGGGCAAGATTTCCGTATAACCCCATACTTCATTATGCATTCAATTCTTGGATAAAGGAAAGCAGAGGTAAAACAACAGATTTCCTTTGGGACAACGGCTTTGTTTTTATTGGTATGGGGTTATACGGAAATCTTTCCCAGTAGAGAATTAATTTATCTAAAAGTTAGCTTAATGTCCAAGGTTACAGTTTTAGCTTTTGTATTCCTAAAAATGTGAGAACCACAGACTGCTTTAAGCCTTAATTCCCCTATCCATGAGTGACCAAGACAAAATTTTTCCTTACAATAATTATCATAAAAAAATCAAGTAGACAAGTGATGAGAATAAAGAAAAATTTCTATTAAGGGTTTATTAGTTGATCCAATACCAAGTTCTCCAAACTGTTGTCATAAGAATTGTACGGCAGACAGTAGGGAGAATTACTCATGAGATCTTGGAAGTGATGGGATTTATGAACTTCTGATCAGCGTGAGTCATCTATAGTGTCCATAATATTTGTATTTAATGTGTTTCTTTTTGGCTCAGAAGTTCAAGCTTGGATCATTCGAAGCAGACGATAAGCCTGATATCGGGAGAAGAGTGCTTGCTCCACTTTCCACTCAAGCAAATGATTCCTCAAAAATTGTTTCAGCTCATGTATGTTCTCTATTTTCTCCTATTTGTATATATGTTTGTATAATCATTTTAGTTTAGCCTTCAGTAGCAAATGATTTAAACATACACTTCACATATTTTACTTATTTACATGTATAATAAAAAGGTTGTTGTATGCAAAGTTAAATCTCTCTAATGATTATCAAGAGAGGGTGATTTCAAGTGATTCACTTGTATGCTGAATATATTTACACAGGAAGATTTAATACGCAAGATTCTTGCAAAGCCTTTCAAGGTCCCAATTCCAAACTATCAAGGTTAGGTTTGTTAACTTATGTTTTACTATGATTGAAGTATTTTTATCATTTCATAATGCATGTAAGTAAAGAGCTTTCTATTGAGCCAAGTGGGCCATCAGGTGGGTGCTTAACTCTGGTTTCTGTGACGTGAAACAATTAGAAGTACTTCTACTCCCCCTTGGTTGGGATGCTAGTCCATCACAAGGTTACCCCCAGCATTGAATTTACTGGTACCCATTTAAACACCTGGGTGAAGAGAGGCACTGTAAAAGTAAAGTGTCTTACCCAAGAATACAACACAGTGTCCCCAGCCAGTGCTTGAACCCAGACCATTCAATCCATAGTTGAGTGCACTAACCATGAGGCTACTGCGCCCCCATTCAGCTGATAACTGTTAACAAAATGTACTGCTCTATTCACACAAAGAGATAATATCCAGTGGATAGTGTTATTCACCTTTCATGCAACTGGGGACAGAAGCACAGAAAATCAAGCATGAACAAGTGGTGATTGGTTTTACTTTTGTATTTGATTCGTTGAGGTTTAATCAGTGGTGTGAATTTTTATCAACTAAAACATAGCTTAGGAAGCGAAACCAAAGCAGTCCTAGATTACTTTGATAATGCAATTGAAAATTGCTGTTTCACAGGATGCACCTACTCAAGAGGGCTTGGTATTAAAAGGAAAGGACCTCGTAGAGCTCTTCATGATCCTTTTGAAGATAATGCTCTTGTCCTCTACTCTCCACCTGAACTAACTGCTCATGAAAAGCTCACAGCAGACTTGTAAGAATGGAATTGTTATGTTTTCTTTTGGTAATCAGCTGTGGTAATGATTCACCGACAATGATTAAAATTAATGCCTGTTGTAACTAGCCTATGGACTTGCTGCTTGTGAAACAAATTATCAAATTTTATATTTACAGTAATCTCATGCTTTAAAATGTACTGTTTGTGATATAAGTGGCTGTCTTCTTGTTGGTTTTGGTAATTTCGTTTTAACAACAATAACTTGTCTTTACCAAAACTAAATATTCTCCTTGGTGTTTTTTTTCCTTTGATCAATGTTACTACTCAGAGAATTCCAGGAAGTGCATGGTAAGATTTAGATATAATAATAATTTAACCATTAACATCCTTACATCAGTATGCATATAATTCTCCATGATACATTCTCTAAAGTATAAATTTTGTCCTTGTTGGCAAGGAGAATTTGTTTAACAAAAAGAACTTTTTGGTTGCTGATCATTTCCTTTATTCTCGTAACGTTAATGTGTGATTCAGGGGTGATATTGTAAGGAGAAATTAGATGTTCGTCACTTTTAGAGGTCAAAGGTTTAATGCAGGTTCATACTTTGGTGTTAACTGTTAGTAATGATATTGATGTAATCGTTAATTCATTTCTGGTCTATGTTACATCACCAATGCCATGGTAACCGAGAGACCATGCATGCTTTTCCGATTTTGCTTTTCAACCTGGATTGTGTGTGTGTTGAATAAACAACACAGTCGTAAACTGTTTCTGCCTTCTTGTTCTACATCTGAACAACCTTAAGTTAACAGTCTTCATTTATATTTGTTTTTTTTATTGGTGATGTGATATTATCATACCTCAGGATTAATTTTTTTTTTTTTTTTTTTTTCTTTTTTAACATCTCTAGGAATTGAGTTTTTACTTTTCTGTTTTCTTATTTAAACAGTTGTTGTTGATCCACTGCTGGGTAAAATTCTTCGTCCCCATCAGAGAGAGGTAATAGCAAGTGCTAGTTTTAAAGAATTTAATCACTCATAGGAGTTTGCCAATAATGGTAGCTCCTGGAAATTGGTTCAGGCACCGAACGTCTACCTTGCAAGGATGTGATTAATGATGCTGCCATTAGCATTATTAGTCGTAGTTTTTCAGTCAGATATGAAACATTGTTTGCCTAAAAAATAAATTAAGATAAGCCAACTTTTTTTTCAGTTTTCTAGTTGTACCACCCATACCAGTTTTAAAGAGTGCAAGATAAAATGATTCAAAGGTGTTTTCATTTTCCAAATTATTTTAAAAACAACTGGAATCATAGTCTGTATTAATTTGTTTTGAAGGGTGTCAAGTTTTTATATGACTGTGTAACTGGCCAAAGGATCCAAGGCAGCAATGGATGTATTATGGCAGATGAAATGGTAAGTTTAATGATATACAAGTCTACTCATTTTATGCCTATTTGCTTTTAAAATAATATTGAGCTATGACAGTGTACCTGTGGTTTGGTTACCTCTACCTCTATCCTCTCTGTTGGATTGCTTTCCCCTGTTTTCTCACTTCTGGTCTTTGATCCTCTGTTTGAGGAGGAGCTTGGGGATACATAATCTGACCAGGGGCTGGTAACCTCAGTCCTGGTTCAGATAGACCTGACAGTAAATAAGCTGGGAGTAAGTGCGGAATGGACGTGAAATACTCAGCTTTATTTACCAACTAAACCCTTTGCATGGAGTTGTACAGTGCAATTATTAGGGCTGTCAAAAATAATTTTTGATTTAGTAAGTGGTCTGTGATTTACCAGTTCCCAGCTTATTTTGACAACCCTTATATAAACTTTATTTTCTTTCATTTAAATAACATGTTCTAGTTTAAAAGGGTTTCAGTTTCAAGTTATTCAAACTGTTTGATTTTTATTTTGCTTTATTTTTAATGTATCAATGACCCAGAACTAGTTTAAACTCATTTTGACTTTATACTTGTGAATTCATTTTAATTTGAACTGAAACATGCATGAAACTTTTAACTTGAATGATTAAGTGATGGTTTACATGATTATTTTTTTTCCAGGGGTTAGGGAAGACATTACAATGTATCACTCTGATTTGGACACTGGTGGTAAGTACACTGTCCAAAGATAATACAGGACTGGTGTATTTTTTAAATTTATTTAATATCATCAAGATTGTAATTGGCTCACCTAAGCTGCTACAATGCTACACATTAACCTGTAACCAAATCCACTAATTTACCCTTTGCTCTTTTATCTTTAGAAACAAGGTCCAGAAGGTAAGGACAAAGTAATTAGACTTATGTTTAACCTACAACCCTTTGCCCATCGCTATTGTTTTGTGCACAAGAATTAACAAGTTCTTCTAGCACCTTAATCCTCAATTCTAGATACTTGATCTTCAATCTTTGATTCTTGATGCCCGATTCTTGATCCCTGAAGACTGAGTTTCAGGTGGAGACTGTAAACTAGGAGGCAGTGTGGCCGAGTGGTCAGAGTGTCGGACTCGTAATCTGGTGCTCCCGGGTTCGAGTCCCACCCCGACCACTAGATTTGTTTCACGGTAGCCCCGTGTTCAGATCCTTGGCCACACTTGTAAATAGCCAACTGGTTTGCCTCTGGCCAGTTGGGGTTCTTAATGATGTTCTTAATGATGTTATGTTCAATTTAGACCATTTGTTTCATTTGTTTGCAAGGACCACAATGGAAACTACTGGTTCACAAGTAATTGTGTAATCCTATAAAAATACTTTTTTTTTTTTTTTAAACCTAACTTTTGGGTAGTACTGTATCTCTGTGTTCAGTTCTTGTCTGTATTGAATTCACTGAGCAAAGTTGTGAAGGTATCACATTCAACATCACTTATTAAGATTTAAACTTTATTAAGAGTACAAATACTATTATATTTGTATGGTTGTTGTTAAATTAAATGCTCCTGGGTTCTAACTTGTATCCATGGGTTTTGATAGCAGTGGCTCAGCAAGCAGATCTAGGGGTACTTGCTCAGCTACCAGCTTGAAGCCTGTAGAAAAAGGTCCTGGTATTCTAGACACAAATTTAACTCTCAGAAAATTTGTTCCGATTGTTTGAATTCCTAAGAAGCAACATAAATTGTAAGAGACAACAAAATGCAGGATAAGGCTACTGCAAGAGTTTCCACTTTCAATTTTTACAAGGGAGCCCAGGGCTGTGGTCTAGCAGTGCCCAGTGGCCCCTGGCGCCTTACTTTTGCTCTTGGGCGACTCAGGAATCTTAGTTTTTTCATAATTATAAAGCATATGCTGGGCACCCTGGATTTCACAGTTTCAGAGCACTGGGCTCCCTTCAATTTTTTTTAGAGCACAGCCTTGGAGCCAGAACCTTCCTAGGAACAGGAGGCCACTCGCGCCTTAAAAACCATATGGTACCCTCCAGCTATTCTAATCTAGTATGCATTTGTACCACATGTTAATGTTCAAAACACTGTGTACCAATTCCTCTTCCCTACTATGACATGTACTACGCCACAAAATCAGCTTGTACTTGCACTCTCTGATCAAATGCCAAATTGCCACAGTTCTCTATAAACTTATATATTTCTTTCCAGGTCAGCCAATAGCCAGCAAAGTTGTCATTGTTGCACCATCAAGTCTTGTTAAGGTACAGTAACAGATTGAGTTTTAATTTTTTCATATTCATTTTGTCAAATTATGGTTTCATTCTGTCTCAAAAGTTTCTCATAAGAGCACAGAATATAAGTGAATGCTTCAAAATGGTCATCTATTGTAGATAGTAGCCTCCTGAGAAATGTATGCATGGGGAGCAAACATCGATTGCTTGTTAACTCTCAGAGGAGATTAACATGTAACTTCTCCCTATAATACCCATACATTATCTAGCAAACAGGTTTGGAGGATACTCAAACTTATAAGGTGTAAATTGTTACATGTATTTTAATCTAATACCAACTTTTCTATAACTAATTTACAAGAAAATGTGTAGCAGCTAGAGGGGAAAATTAACAGTCAGTCTGGAGAGTTCAAGGGTTAAGTGTTTAGATTCAGGTACCATTTTTAGTTTGTAGCTTTACTGAGGGCTGTGGTCTAGGGTGAACATTAAACATTGAAATGTAGGAAGTGATCAGGGCCGGGTTGTTCAAAGGTGGGTTAAGATAACCCAGGATTAGCGTGAAATTTGATTTCAGATCTGAAAGCTTTAAGAGAAAGTTCAGTTTAATTATTTTGTGTGTACAATTTGATGATTGGATGCTCTAAAAATAACGGGGAAAATTTTCTCAGAAAGGTTCTTGAATAGAGAAATAAGGAAACCCGAGTCAAAATTTAACCCTGGGTTAGTGCTAATCGGGATATATCAACAAAGTTGAAATGGTAAGTTGGCCACCGTAACGATTACAAAAGCTGACGTTTCGACGAAGGGCCAACGCTCGAAACGTCAGCTTTTGTAATCGTTACAGTGGCCAATTTACCATTTCAACTTTGTTGATATATCCAAATTATTTCATTACTCCCTCTGACGCAGCCCCAAACAGTTTCTTTAGAAACTATCAGCCTTTATTCATTAGTGCTAATCGGCCTTCGAACAACTGGACCCAGGGCTTCAAGGGAAAAAATTGTCTGGCCATTTGAGAAAGTAACCTTTCTTGTTGTCTTTCACCATGTAGTGCTTTTATCCCTTTCACTTCCAAGATCCCATGAGTAATTCTCCTTACTGTCTGCCATTCAATTCTTAGGATTTTAGTTTGGTATTAGATCAACCAATAATTCCCTAATTTATATTTTTCGTTATTCTCATCACTTACCTCAGCTTGATCACCCATGGGAGTTAAAAAGGTTGATAAGACCTAACATATGTTGGAGTTCTGTACAATGTTTTATTTCCAGTGGGCAACTTTCTTTAAAATGTCTTTCCTTGCCAGTACTTGAAAAGAACTGTTGAGGTGGAAGGACTAAGTTGAGAGAAAGACCTCGCCAAATCCTTTCAGATATCCAAGTTTGAGAGTTGTAATTTTTTGGTTTCAGAACTGGTATAATGAACTTCACAAGTGGCTTGGTGGTAGAGTTTCTGCATTGGCTATAGACTCTGGGACCAAAGATCAAATTGATAAAAACCTTGGTAAGACTTTGAAAGAATGGGTGGGAAAAAAGCCTTTATTGATGTCTGATAGACTGTTAGATTCTCCTTCAAAGTTGTCTTTTAAAATTGTGGGAGGTGTTAAATCAGAGGTCAATTAAGGCTTAGCTCTGCACAACCCTTTCTTTATTGGTTATTGAAAGATTTACTATGTTTATATTTACAAGCATAGTTAACTAACTTACTATGTTACAAGTATGGTTTAAAAATTGAAGTCCTTCTATAGAGAAGACGTTTGAACTTTTAAGTAGAGTCTTATTCATTTATTTTCTCTTCTTTTCTGATATCTTTAGGAATGTTTATGTCTCAACAAGGGAAGCGTACAGCTAACCCAGTGTTAATAATTTCATATGAAACTTTCCGACTTCATGCCTCAGTGTTACAGTCAGGACCTGTGGGTTTAGTCATCTGTGATGAGGTGTGATAAACAAATAACACTGAAATTACCATGACATTAGACAAACAGTTGCTCATAAGCCCTGCCACTTATGTATGTAAGCTCGTCTGATTATAGGTCCATCTACCTGAAAACAAAAACATATATCTGATTATAAACCCTCCCCACTTCCCCCAGATACAAGCTCCTCCCCCCCCTTCTAGCTTTTCTTGTATTTAGAGATAGGAACTCTGTACTACTTCAAACAGAAAATTTGAAAGAACATTGTGGAACAAGAAGTATAATGATTATTATTATTGTACTTCTTTTAAATCATCAAAGATAAACTTTAAGTGAAAAGTCTGAACTTTCATTTTGTTAATAGTATGTTCCAGTTCTGTTCATGTTGCTCATTTTAATGTTATTCTAAATGATCATTGTTATTAATTAATTCCATTTATATGAGATGTTTTGAAGCTTAATTTAAAACCAGTAGATCCAAGATGTATTTTGATCAGCACTGCCAGAACTCATTTGAAGTGCTTTTTCTCTCTTCTGGTTTTAAGACCCTTAGGTATAAATTCCTCCGTTTATAAGCCCTGGGCTCCTGAAACTCCTAAGGAAGTTGTATAGGCTTATCGGTTATAAGCACTAGTTTACAGTATTGTTACAGCTATGATTGATGTTTTGCTCTATTTCTTGTAATTGATGTACTCTACAACCTTATACGTACTGTAAGTTCAACTGGTCTTTTTCTTTTCTTTTTAGGGACATAGACTAAAGAATTTAGAAAGCCAGACATACCAGGCTCTTGATAAATTAAAGACAACAAGAAGAGTACTTTTATCAGGTGGATAAAATACATCATACTGTCATCACATATAATGATAAAATAACAGAAAAATCTTTACAATACTGTCGTCCATCTGCTTCTTCTCGGATATAAATTACAACGTACATGTATACAAATTACCACTTGTATGAACAGTCCAAACTTCTCTCAAGAGGCACTTGGAAGCACACTGAGTTCTTCTTATACAAAATATAACTGTTGAAAGCATTCTTGTATGAATTCTTAATTTTAAGATATTTGTGTTAGTTGTGGGTTTTTTTTCCAGGTACCCCAATTCAGAATGACTTATTGGAATACTTCAGTCTTGTTCATTTTGTAAATAGTGGAATTTTAGGTAGGTCATTTAAATGCAGTATTATGAAAATGAATTTGTTGAAGTCACTTGTGTTTTAAACCCTTTTTAAGCAGACATTTTGAGAATAAGAAAGAACAATTATAGCAAAAGCCATTTTTCTTGTAGCATTTAGGCAGAGTGAGAAATTGTTATCAGTTGATGCCATGATGCTACACCAAACATGGGGATATTGTGAAACATTGAAAGAATCCTTGGATCATTATTATGTTATTCATAATTGTTATACCAGGGTTTGTACTGGTCCTGGAAAACCTGGAAAGTTATGGAATTTTATTTGACTTTTTCCAGGACTGGAAAGTCTTGGAAAAAGACTATAGGTTGTGGATAGTCCAGGAATTTGGCTAAAGATTAAATAAGCAAATTGAGTTTTCAGAATTAACATTCTAAGAAATGCATATAGACCATAAGGAGAATTGATATTGAAATCTTGGGTAAAATGTGAAATTTGGAGTCCTGAGAAAATCAATCTGAGCCTGGAAAAGTCCTGGAAAATTCCTTGAAATTTGTGTCTGAAAAAGAGTATGAACCCTGTCTACTTTGGCGTGAGTTGGGGCATAACCCAGTATCATAATATGCATTTAACAATTATTCGCCAAAGGTGAATATTCCCTGAGACAAAGTTGACGGGATTATTCGACAATATTCACCGAACCTGAGGTAGATAATTGTTTTTATAGTATAATTTCAGAGCTGAACAACAGAGAAATTTCTAAAATCATAACATTTTAGTAACATTTATTAACATTTTATTTTAACATTTTATATAAACCGCGTGGAGCGGTTTATATAGTGTCATATAAGGAACCGCGCGGCCAATCAGATTGCTGGAAACTCTTTGCTCAGCTCTGAAACTATACTAATTATAATTATTCTCCATACTGACATCTTTCCTATGATACTGATCTTTACAAAAATTTATTTCAGGCACAGTATCAGAGTTTAAGAGAAAATTTGAGAATCCTATTTTGAGAGGGAGAGATGCCGACGCTTCTGATGCAGATCACAAGAAAGGAGCAGAAAAACTGGCAGAGGTAACGTTAAAAATGATTTTAATTATTCTGTTCAAAACCATGATTTGATCTTGCATTTCTGTATCTTCATAGCTTGCATTGCTGGTAAACAAGTGCATCATCAGGAGAACTGGTAAATATACTATAATATGTAAAAGTTAACAAAAATATTGTACTAGGTCTTATGGGTAGATCTTTGTGGCTGTTGAGTTTTTCGTCAAAAGTGACCATTGAATCGAAAGCTTATTATGTATGATCATTTCTTTCAGTCTACACTGTTTATTATGGCAAAAGTGGGTTTGTTTTATTGACGATAACTTGAATTTTGTATATTCTTTGTCTTGTAGCTTCAATATTGTCCAAATATCTGCCAGTTAAAGGTTCGTCTTTTTGTGTTTTTTTTACTTGTGAGAGGTACACATAGTAAAGTGAAGCTAAAACCCTTGACACAATTTTCTTGTCCAGATATGATTTCTGTCATTTGATGCTGATCCTCTCAAATTCTGGTCACTGTTGGTATCATTTCAAACCTTTATTTTACATCACAAGAAATCTATTAAACATGTTGATGCTTTATACCTTTGTTCAGTGGTTTTTTTTGTTTTTTTTTTTACACTCTGTTAAAACTATTTTTTCTTCCTTTTATTGGCTGGCCAGCATTGTAGAGGTTTAGTGCCATTTCCTTATTTCTCCTACAGTTGAACAGGTTGTGTGTTGCCGAATGACTCCTTTGCAGACAGAACTTTACAAACATCTTATTCAGTCTAAATTGTTTAGGATGGAACTCACAAAGGCAAAGTCTGCTTCTGGAATGTCTGCATCATCCTTAGCTTTTATCACACAACTCAAAAAATTGACCAATCGTAAGTACATACTGATTAGTCAGAGCAATCTTCAGTTGTACACAAGTCATGCATGTTCAAAAACATTTTAACGATCATCCTGTGCAGTGTCGTTTTGTTAATAACATGTTCCATGATTTTAATTTGTCTTAGATCCTGAATTAATTTATGACAAGGCTCAAATGGGAGAAGATGGCTTTGAAGGAATACTGGACATGTTTCCAAAAACCTTCAGCCTCAAACAAGTGCAGCCTGAACTCTCTGGTGAGTTGAAATTGCTCGCATCCAAACATGTGTTCAGCTCTTAGACATGCATGCCATGAATATTAAGTTGTGTGCATTTTAGTTACATTTACACGTATTCAGCAATGTCTGGAAGAGGAAGGAATTATTGTCAGTGACAAAAACAAACTTACCCTTTGTTAGACTGATTAGTGATGATTTCTTATTTATTGATTTACATATTTTAAGTATTATCTATTTCTGTTTTAGGAAAAATGCAAGTGTTAGACTACATTTTAGCCATGACAAAATCGTCCACTTCAGACAAGGCAAGGAAGTAGCTCAATTCTCACGTTTGACATTGACAATAATCCTTGATAATCTACAGTGCTGTTGATACCACAATTTTCTGTTTTAACCCTTTTAACTCCCAGAAGTGATCAACATGTAACTTCTCCCTATAATATCCATACATTTTCCACAAACAGGTAATGAGAATACTCAAACTTATCAGGTAGAAGTTTTTATCTTGATCCAACACCAAGTTCTCATTACTCATTTACAAGGAAATGTGTAGCAGCCAGATGGGAGAGTTAATAATCAGATCTTGGGAATTAAAGGGTTAAGAGCCTTTATTGCTTCCTGGCCACTGGACAACCCTCATTGCAATTTTAGCACTCATTAGTCTGTTAAAGAATCTTTCTGGGGCATGTGCAAGTAAACATTGTTATGGCAATTGTTGTTTCATTGTGTTTAACTTAGTCTTTTATTGTTTTGTTTTGTTTTTTTACAGTGTTACTGATACTTGTTACTGTTTTACAAAAGGTTGTGTTAGTTTCTAACTACACTCAAACTCTGGACTTGTTTGAGAAACTTTGTAGACTTAGGAGGTGAGTTGTACATTTAAAAAAGTTGTCAGAGATTTTTCAACAGTGTACTCCAATTGTATTTTGTGAGGATAAACTTCTTACTAATAAAGCTCAAGGGCCATACTGGGCAATCTTGGCCTGAGGTTATGGTAGTACAATAAAACGTAAATAATACCTGAAAGGAAAGGTTGTGCACAAAATTTTACAACAAGCATTTCAATTCCATCCAGATTTTTTTCAATTATCATCCCATAGTGGAATGATCTTTGTACCACTTCACTTCAATCTGTTTATAGTAAAGAGAATCACCACCAACTGAAAAATGAATGTGATTTTCATTCATTTGGTAAATGTTTTTGTTTTTTTCAGGTACCAGTATGTTCGTCTTGATGGTACAATGTCTATCAAAAAGCGGCAAAAGATTGTCGACCGCTTCAATGATCCTCAGGTAAGAAGCAGTTATAGTACTAAAGATTTTTTTAATTGTAAAGGTGACTCGAGCATTCCACCAAAATATTGATCATTTCTTTTAATTAATTAATCCAAAAAGGCTTTAACTTTCTAGTAGTTTAAGAATTAAACGTATGCTATGATCATCTTAGGGTAATGTCATGGTAATGTTACAAAAACTTATTTTTTAATGGACATCATGGTTAGAATTTATATTACTTAATATGCTATGCAGTGTAGTTTACTAGGCAATATTTTTCAGCAACAACAGTTTTTTTTCAAAACTGGCAACAAAGCTACCTAATTTTTGTTTGTTGTGCTTTAAGAAAAAAGTTATTAAAAGCACTCAGTTTTGTTTAATTTGGAGTAAGAATTGGCTTGTGTAATCTTATTACTTTCAATTGATTTTGAGATGTGGATTGGATTGGCAAGGGAAAAAGATATTATGTGGATTTAAGTTTCTTGGATCAGAAATGATTGCTACTGCAGCATTAGCTGCTAATATACTCTAGAGCTTGTGAAAAGTAATCCTAAAATTCTTTCTACATGTACACGTATGTTTGTACTTCTCTAGAAATAACTGATGAAAATATTAGCTTTTAAAATTGTTAAAAAATTATTTGTTAATGTACCTCGTCATTTCTTGCTTTAGGGTAGTGACTTTGTGTTCATGCTAAGTAGCAAAGCTGGTGGGTGTGGCTTGAATCTGATTGGCGCTAATAGACTGGTAATGTTTGATCCTGACTGGAATCCTGCTAATGATGATCAGGCAATGGCTCGTGTGTGGAGAGATGGACAGAAAAAAAAGGTTTGTGCAAAATCGTATAGTGAAACTTATTGTTAATCTGTTCATCCAGGAATGCAGTAATAAGTTTTATCACCTCTGTAAAAGGACTATCCTTTTATCAGTTCTGTGGTAACTGATAGATAGATAGATAGATAAGATCTTTATTGACCTGGAAAAAATAAAAGAAACACGTCCAAAGACAAAACGTCTGGACTTACAATTTCCTACATATATCAATTCATTATATATATACAAGACTAAGTGGCTACACAAATTCGAAAAGACATCTATTAAAAAAGCAACATTTAAAACGTTCAGTTCTAACTAGAGGCAGGATGTAATTATGTCCTCTTTTCCTGAATTTAATTCAAATGATTAAAGGGATTAAGTTTCTAAAGAAACAGTGGTGCTGCCACAGTGAGGACTATTACATGATAATTAACATAAATTGGCCACTGTAAATATTTTCTATGGTCAGAAAATAAAGCTGAAATGGAACTTGCAAGGCAATAGACAGGTTATGCTTTATTTTCATAATCTGGCATGCATTTCATAATAAAAAATTTATGTACCTAACCATGGGTAAAATTTCAATGGTGTTTCTATGGTTTAAAGTGTCTAGCTGGGTGCTTTGAGAGGGTTTTAATTCACATTTTAGGAAATTATGCAACATCTGCATTCTAATGGTACTCTAAATCATGTTTGTAGGTCTTCATATACAGACTGTTATCGGTAAGTTGATATCATAAAACATGGTCTAAAGGGTCTCATCGCAATAATTCAAAATTACAGCTGCTTCCAAGTTTCAAAGATCCCATTAAAATGAGGCAGGAGCAGAACCTCACTTTTGGCAGTGAGTTTTTATTACAGCCAAACCAAGTGAAGCATACCCCTTAAGATTACATTAATGGATTGATTATTTGAATATTGAACCGGATAGCTGTATTTGTTTTGAAAAGGAACGGAACATTGTTCAAATCGGAAACTAACTTCTTATTTGAACAATAATCCGCACCATCTCAAAATGGCTTTTGGTCATGGAATTAGAGGTTAAAGACTTGAGAAAAATTAATTACTAGACTAAGTAGGCATTTTCCTTGCAAGTTCTCAAGTGATTTTTGACAAGACTGGCTTTATTTAACAAGGAACACGATTCTTACGGAATTTTTTGTTTGTAAACATGTTTGTGGCCAGATTTTGTCACACTAGTTTTAATCTTATTTGAAGACAGGTACAATTGAGGAAAAGATTTTTCAGCGACAAGCACACAAGAAAGCACTAAGCAGTTGTGTGGTAGATGAAGAAGAAGATGTAGAAAGGCACTTCTCAGTAGGGGAGTTGAAGGACTTATTTTGTTTGAATGAGGATACCCTTAGTGATACACATGACAAGTAAGTTGAGGTCCTTGTCAGTATCTGAGCAACTGCACACCTACCCCTTCCCTCCCCTCTCCTAACCCAATAACAGTTAACTGATGACAAGTTATGGATAATGTTGGGTTAGGGGAGGGGTGGGGTGCACGGTTGCTCAGATGTTGATAGTGATCTTTAAGTTGTGTAACATTTGAACCCAATGCAACTGATAAATGGTGGAAACTGTTTTGTTGGGACTCCTCCACTTGAGAGAATTTAGCTTAGGTTCCAACAGAAGCCTTAAATACTTTGACCTTCATGTCTCTTGCAAGGCTTTAAGCTAAAATTTGTTCCTTGGCAACTTCAAATCACCAAATGGTTGAAGCTTACCAGGACTGACTCTTCTTTTTCTAATTTTGCACAGATTCAAGTGCCGTAGATGTGTGAACAATATTCAGGTGACCCCACCCCCTGAGGGAACTGACTGTAGTGCAGATCTGTCACAGTGGAATCACTGTGCCGATCGTAAGGGACTGGATGACATCATGTTGAAGGGAGCCTGGTCAAGTGGTGTAACCTTTGTATTCCACCAGAAATCACATGAAAAACAACTGGGCCTTTAACTGGTAGATAAGCATGATTCAATTTTGAAATTGGAACAGAAATTCCCTGGACCTGATTAGACCTCCATAGTATCCAAGCAGATCCAGGGGTCCATTTCTCAAAAGGGCTGAAGCCACAGTTTAAAATGATATCAAAATTTAAAGAATAGAGAAGCATGTTCTAGTACCCTAACCAACCCATTTTGTTCCTTTTGCTGATAGTTTTATCGTATAAATTTCAAAAATTTTTAGACCCCCCCCCCCATATTGAATGAAAACAGGATGCCTTTACAGACTGGTTTAGTCACCAGGGCCCTGGAGAAACAGGCCTCTGGTACCCTACAGTATTTGCCATGATTCCACAAAAATGATTATTCTACTATATGTCACAGTAGATTTTCCAAAAGAGGCTGCGAAGAGTTGACAAAGCAGCAGTGATCATGAAAGAGTCCTTAAAAATCTTGCGAAAAAATCCTTCAAGTAAACACGAAGTGGCCTTAAAAGCATCCATAATAAGCTGTTAAGTAGCTCTTATTCAAACCTGTCCCACCACACACAGCACAGACACAGGGTTTGTACGTGTCTTGAAAACCCTTGAATTTCAGAGGCCGATTTCAAGGCCTTGAAAGTACTTGAATTTCGTTTTGGGGCCTTGAAAGTCCTTGATATTTTATTGAACAACATTAAAAAATATCTGCTTTTGTTTTGCACCATCGGTAAATCCAAAACATAGATGCTAACAGAAACATTTTTCTTGGTTTTGAGGTAAAATTGTCATTAAAAAAAGTCCTTGAAATTTCTAAGTAGGGTCCTGCAAAGTCCTTGAATCTTTGGCCTGAAAAAGTGTACGAACCCTGCAGACAGTTCACTTTGAATGTTTGTCATGTCTTCAAGCAATAAGGAAATTGTAAGCAAGACTTTTAAACATAAGCTCACTGTTGCTGAAACCTTCCACATGTTGTCATAAAATAATGTATTATCTATAGTAAATATTTGTCTTAATATTCATTCATTCTTGTCCTCAGCAAAGAAAAATGGCAGTGAAAATATTTAAGGTTATTTTTTAAATAATTAGTTCTTAGTAATAGATGGATTTGAAACAGTCATTTAGAAGAGATGATTTATTAATGTTAGGGTTGGCATCTGAGGACTAAAGATACTCTCCTATCTCTAAGCACAGTCTTTCCTTTCCAAACAGATTCTTCTTCTTTCAATATTTCATGTGTAAATTCATACCTTACAGCATCCCTGATGGAAAGAAATAAATACATTTTAATTTGTCTCGTGATAGTAAGTAAAATTAATATGAATGAACATGTACACAGAATTGTATATATAGGCATACAACAAGAATCACAATTCTGTTGCTTTAAACCGTCCTTGTGCTTAAGACCAGCCACCATTTGGTGTGACTTTTCAGTTCCCAGTTATACTCCTTTGTTGATAGAGCCACTGGAAGAGCTAGGTGTTTAGCCCAAGAACACAACTAATTGACCGGACCAGGGGCCCGTTTCTTAAAAGTCCCAGTAACTTAACAGGTCTGTAAAGCTGTTCTATTTTCATTCAAGATGAGGATTTCAAAAGTTTTGAAAATGATAAAATAAAGCTCTCAGCTAAAGAAACAAAAAGGACTGGTTTGGGTGCCAAAACCTGCTTTCCTGTCCTGTAAATTTTGATTTTAAAACATGGCTTTGGGCCTGTTAAGTTACCAGGACTTTCAACAAATGGGCCCCTGGTCTGGAAGCTGGCACATACCAACACTTTGCAAAAATAATGGTACTTGTACACTGTATTGTTCATCCTTTATTTTTAAACAATGTTGAGCCATTGATGCATAATACCTTATAATGTAGAGTGATCTTGGTTGGAGAAGGGCATCAACTTTGACATTGCCAAGCTTCTCATGTTTAAACCTCATAACTGAAGGTGACAGGAGACTGACGCCAGATATTATTGCTCCACAAAACTGAAAAGACAAAATTCATGATGCTTTACCTTGTGGAAACCTCTGTTTGTTGAATGAAAAAATGAATTGGTTGTCTTGCCTCCCTAACCCTTTACACTGTACATTAGTACACATATTCTCCATACTGTTCTCTATACATTTCCTAAGGTGCTGGCAAGGAGAATTTGTTGAACAATCAAGAGCTTTTTTTAGTTGCTGATCATTTCCTTTATTCTTGAGACTTTAATGTGTGATTCAGGGGTGATATTGTAAGGAGAAATGAGATGTTAGTCATTTTTAGGGGTCAAATGCTTAAATAAACCTTTTAACACCATTTACTTGACAGTTATTCACAAACCAGGTTTTGATCCTTAAATTAAAGTACTCCATTCAATGTGTGTACATGCCTTTTTCCTTTATTTACTTGTTGTTATTGTTGAAGAGTTTTCAGACTTAAAATGCTGAGGTTCTGAGTGTACTGAACAAATAATAGTAAGAATATTTGCAGCCTTCTCAAAACTGGCCGTCAACGAGCCGCCTCCTTTCAAATCTTGGCCGTCTCTTTTCAGTCAAAAAATATTATTTTCAAAGGCAACAAATGAAAAAGAAAACAAGAAAAATTAAGCGCAAACAGAGAAAGTTAAAGAAAAGCCGCCAGAGTGCGTTTAGTTAGCGTGATCCGCTTAAATCTTATATAATAATTACATGACTTTTTTCCCTTTCAACACACCCAAAATGCACCAAATTGCATCTCCGAGCATCTAAATTTCCAAAATTTTCCAGGGAGCATGCCCCTGGACCACCTTACATGCTCATGCCCACAGGGCACTCAAAGGGGTGCCGTTGGCACCTCAACCTACTCCTCCAATCCATTAACCTACTCGAAATTTTTTTGAGAAAGCTGATTTGTAACCAAACATTTATTTATTTTGATTGATTTTGTTTTAAACATCTAGCAAATATTTTAAGAGGTCCATCTGTTACCTTAATGCTGTCAACGTGGGGCTTAATATACCTGAAACAAAAAGTAAGATCGATACGATTCATATATATACGATATTACATGTGATAGGCAGAAAAAAAATCAATCAACTACATTTCATCCCTACAGACCTGTTTCACGAAACAGGTCTGTAGGGATGAAATGTAGTTGATTGATTTTTTTCTGCCTATCACACGTTATACACGTTCTACTATATGTAGCGAGCACTGTTTTTCAGATATCAAGTTTAACCCTTCTATATTATAATAGTGTATACATATGAATTGAGCCTTGCTAACAGATGACTCACTCATTTGTAGAGGATGAACATTACAAACCAACTGTCTGAAACAGAGGAATTGGGTTGAATACTGGTACTCTGTGCACCATAAAATACTGTACAGATAATTAGTTGCTAGTCACTCTGAGAAGTCAAGGGTTAAATTTTCAACAACACTGGACATTGAAGAAGCAATCTCCAATGTTATTGGTTTTATTAACCAAGTTGAAATAGTAACGTATATGAGAACGATATGTTTCATATGTTTGTTGTTGTTTGAAATAGTAAATTGGCCACTGTAACGAATAAAAAAGCTGACGTTTCGAGCGTTAGCCCTTTGTCAGAGCAAATGGCGATTCGCTCTGATGATAATTTGCTATTCGCTCTAACAAAGGGCTAATGCTCGAAACATCAGCTTTTTTATTTGTTACGGTGGCCACTTTACTAATTCAACTTAGTTGATATAACCAATTACCTTGTTACCCCCACCAACGCAGCAACACAGTTTCTTTAGAAACTTTCAGCCTTTATCAATCTCCAATTTTGACTAATATACAAATGAAAATAACATTCTGACATCTTTATAGGAGCTTTTACATGCACCACTCACCATCTAATGAGAAGACTCAAACTTATCAAGTAGAAATTGTCATCTTGGTCTAACACCAAATTCTCAAACTAATTTACAAGGAATTGTCCAGTAGTTAGAGGGGATAATCTACATTATTAAAAACTGGATCATTGGATAATGCAATTCAAGACTTTTTATTGGCTTAGCCATTATGGTATATCAGCCAATATAACATAATCTACAAATATGGTAAGTGTACGCTTCAGCTTAAAATCAAAAGGGAGCTAAANTATCGCCTTGAGCAACTCTTACGCTTCTTTCGTGCTTAGCAACCTCCCGCATGCATCCATAACTCAATAGTGTAAGCTGTGGTGTTTACCATTTGTTAATTGGGATGAATAAGTGAACTGGGCTCTTTGCCATAGGCAAGGTTGGGCACAATGTCATGATTTGTCATGGGGGAGGGGGGTGAAGATGAATTATATGGTTGAGCCACAAGTTCACCAAATTAATTAAACTGAGCTAATATAAAGGTAAAATGTAAATTAATCTTTTCGTGATCAAGTCATTCTGTAAGAAAATTTCAATTTTTTATTTCTTTGCCAAACTGAGCCGAAGACCTCAGATGCCCATTAGAAATCAGATTACAATCTGACCTATTTTTTAATACGAACACAACATAATTTAATTCTGTTTGAAAAGGGGACACGAAGGGATGATCCTAGAGTTGTTTTACGCTCATAATTAAATTATTCAGGTCATAAGATTACTTGCGATTACGTTGTGAAACTTACATTGTCCCAGTGATCGTACTGATACTTTTGTCTCTTCAAATATGGTTCGATTTCCTTCAATAGTAAAGTTTCCTCTTCTTCGGAAATAAAATGTTCACAAACTTCTAAATTACCGACTACGAAATCTTGTACCATCTCCAACTCTTCTGTACTGCAGCCATCAGTTATAAAACAGATTCTGTTCTCTTCGTTCAGATTTTTAGCTGTACTCGATAGATATCTCGTAAAATATCTGACAGACTTTGCATTAATGGAAGAAAAACGCGATAAAAACAGTGATCTGCACAACTTCACAAGACTCTTGTCCGCCATATTGGCTTCTGAAGTAACCGCTGATATGCGAACCGAAGTGCACCCGCATCAGTCACATGACTCTTCGCGCTATCTAAGGTAACCGTTTTGTGGGAAGAAAGATCGCGGGAGTTTTAAAGATGGAGGTTGCTACGGCTGCCGAGAGGTATGTTGAGTATACAATCAACTGAGCGTTATTTTTCGCTGCTCTAGAAAGTATCAATAAGTCACAAATCGCATTTTTTAACACTGGACTCGTTAAAATCGATCGATGGCTGGCTGCAAAATGATTATGGTTGTCACAAATCGCATCAATCGAGGACTCAAACTTAGGTTCGAAGTCGAAGTTTCCTTCGATTTCTCTCCGTTCCTATTGTACATTTTTAAGTTGGTTTGATTTAGATCTCATGAAATTCCCAGAATTTATACGGATATTTTAACACTGACTATGAATTTGTACGACCTGCGTATCTGCAAATCGTTTGATCACACTCACAGCCATTCTCTTTATCTTGTAGGAGGGCCAATGGATTTTGCAGGTAATCTTCATAGCATTTTTTTGATAAAATCCAATTATGTCTTTCCTCTATAAATTCTCCATACTGTTGTTCATTATACATTTCCTAAGTTGCTAATGAGGAGAATTTTTTTAACAATCAAGAGCTTCTTTAGTCGGTGATCATTTCTTTTATTCCCGTGACCTTGTTAAGTGAATCAGGGATGACACGGTACAGAGAAACTCTAAAATGATGAGAAACAGAGAAAACTGAGAAACTGTAAAATGATGATAATGGCAGAAGCTCTTTACCTACATTTTTACTTAATAGGAATGCTATGGAATTAAAATTTTGGAGAAATTAAAGCTTTTGATCATCGCACAAATTGTTCAAGTGGTTGGTCATGTATCGCATTTTTGAATTGACATTCTGATCTATCACAGGAAATAGAAGTATGCATATAAACAACTTTATTGTTGACAGCTTAATCTATGCACCTTTTTATGCTCTGTTCCCACTGACTACTGTCATTTCTCCTTCCTTTCCATAACTTTTAGGTTGGTTTGTGTAGATGTTGATGGGGAATTGTCAATTATACTGAATC